GCTGGCATGTGGTGCTGGGGGATTGAACCGCGGTCCCTGTGCTTTTAGTTTGTTCTAAGTAGGTGCTTTAGACCACTGAGCCATCTCACCAGCCCTAGGTAGGGATTTTAAAGAAGCTTTCTAGATGAAGTCAGTGCACCTGGGCATGGGAGAAGCTGGGGTGACAGAGACAGCCAGGGTGGCCCCAAGGTCCAGGCACAGTGTTGGAATTGTGAGGGCACCAGGGAGGCCTACCTTGCCTCTCCCAGATGCTCTGGCTACCCAGCTCGGCCTGGCCTGGACCCCTTTTCCTGTAGTGCCACCTGCCCCCCCACCCCTGCTCAAGGAGCTGTCTGGCCTGAGGCCAAGAGAGGCAGCTGTCAGCCATTCTGTTAGTGCTGGGGTCCAAGCGGAGAACCCAGGCCTGACCACTTCCAAGCCTCCTGGAGCTGGGGATCCTCGGGCTGATTCCCACCAACAGAAGTCCACGGAGAGGGTCCTGGGAATCTGGAGTCTGTGCTGCGTTTAGGGCAGTGAGCTCCAGGTGAGTGGGATTTCTGGTGTCCAGGAGCATTAGGTGATTCTGTTCAGTTAAAAAGGTCCCCAATTGGCCAGAAATACAGCTCAGGGGCGCAAGTGCCTGCCTGGCAACTGCAAGGTCCTGGTTCAATTTCTGGTACCAAAAAAAAGTCTACAGCAAAAAGACCAAAAACTTTATTTAGTTTTTAGGGAAATACAAGATGCATGTAAACATAAACCAAATATAAAACAAAACAACCCAAATCTTACTGTCTAGAAGCATGCCAAAAACAGAGCATTTCTGCAGACCATAAAGTCCCGTCGAAGCGATAAAGGAAACCTGGAAGTGGCAGGCCAGAGGCTGGCTCTCTCCCCATGATACTGCATGTTTTGTGAGAAAAGCCCACCATTAAAAATACCAGAAACAGGAGATTAGCACACCACTGAACCTGGGAGTGTTTAGCGCTCACAATGACTGCAGCACCGTAATGTCCATCTCTCCAGTTTCTCTGCGGAGGAGGAGAGGCAAAGCCTGGAAGCCTGGGCCCCACAGAACCCACCCGGCGCTGGGCAGGGCTGTGGGACGCCACGAGGAATCTCCTGCAGCTCTGACGCCTCAGCGACATCCATCAGTGCATGTCCAGCCATGCGGCCCACAGGGATGGGCACACACACCCGTTCTGCTCCCAAGCTGCCTTCTGCAAACCTCTCAGTAACAGCAGGGACGCCCACTCCCCAAACTGTATCCTGGACGTCAAGGAAGCTTATTGCAGAGAACAAGCTGAAAATTCAAGAATGGTGCCATTCGCCCTCCTGTAACTCCCTCAGAGCAGTGTGCTTCAGTTAGAAGCCACTAGAACAATGGAAGGGCCCGTGGATGGGCGAATGGACAGGGAGACTCAGGAGCACCGGCCAAGAGCAGAGGAGGGGGCTGTGCTCCCCCAGAGGGACTTGCAGACCCCATGCTTCATTTGGCGTGCAGGGGGCCCTACTGCATGGACCCCAGGCACTCACTCCTACTGCTTCACCCCACTTGAGGCCAGCTCTGCACAGGACAAAGGCAGTGGACAAAATCGGCTGAGAACGGGAAGGTGTAAGTGCATCTACTGGAAACAGCCTGAGCTCAGAGACTTGTCTGCGGCCTGCAGCCCCTTCTCCACGACGGAAATCAGCGCCACTCGCAAGGCGTCAATGTGTGCCAGTGAGCAGCAGGTTTCTCTGGCCGGCTGCTTCTGTGGCCAAATTTGGAGGATTTTCTAAACTTCAGCTCTGGTTGGATCCTTGGATGTCGAATCATGAAATTCCCTGCCTACCTGTTCTCTTCTTTCTCAAACACTCAGCATCAACTTCTTTCCAATCAATAAAGACAAAAGAAACCTCCAAACTCTCTCCCTTCCCATACCTTTCCTTTCTTCTGGAAGCCTCCTCCCCAGTGAAGGGATGCAAGCCCAGCCACCCCATACACGCACAGGCTCAGTCTTGCCGACGTACCTCTCACTTGTCTCCAACATGCTCAACTCAGCCGTCTGCTCTAAAACAGTTTAGTCCCGAGGGCCAGGCCACTGGCCAGGATGGAACCGGGAGCAGGGTAGGAACCTTCAGCACTGGGATCCCACACTGCAAGGCCACTGAGTTCTAGGACTGATGGGTCAGGATGCAGATTGTCCAGGTCAAGTGCAAACAGGAGATGGAGAGAGACAGCACAGGGGAAGAGGGAGCACATGCAGACCCCAGCCTCGCAGGCAGCCTGGGATCAAGGTGGGGGCACCTATGTGCGCAGGACAAAGCAGGAGGAAAATGAAAATCAGTGGGCTGTGCGTCTAAGGCTGTCAGGTCACTGACCCTGCCTCTGATCAAAGAGCTTGGGAACCACACTCGAGACTGTCCCCGACAGGGATGAGACAGTCTCAGTGAGACCGGGAGCCCCTCCACACTGCTCTAAGTGTCCAGGCAGGCCCTAGAGGTGCTGCTGTGTGCATGTGCAAGTCTGCCAAATGTCCCCCGGGCTGGTTCTCACCGCCCAGCCTGACCCTTCTCAGAAACAGGAACCCAGGGCCCAGCTGCTCCCATATCTTTGGAGCCTCCCAGCTGGACAACATGCAGGATGAGGGGTGGGAGGCAGCCTGCCAGGTGACGCATCTGCAGGCAGGTGACCTAATTCAAGACCTTAGCACTTCCTTGTCCAGCAGCAGTCTCCCTACCATATCTTTATTTGGAGCCCAGGACGACAGCTTAGGCTGCTTCTGCTAGATCTGTTAATGCCAGTGTGAAGTTTCCAATGAACTAAATAAAAAAATAATTAATAATCATAAAAAGACACATTGCACTCTCCAGCCAGAGCTGTGTGTATGGATGACACACACACACACTTTCTGCAGGAAGCTGTGAGTCCCTTGGGTCCTGCCCAATGCCAAGGACTTGTTCAATGGAGACAGCCTGCCCAGTATTTTTTCCTGTAACCCCATTATTTAGTTTAAGTGGGAAATTACCAGCACTCACTCTCTCTCTCACACACACTCACACATACACACACACAGACACTTAACATACAGCCCTCAGAAAAGTGAGGGAATCTTAATTCTTCGGTGATGTGGACAGTTCTCTTTCCAGACAGCTTTGCATGGAGATTCTCAGACTGGATTTGTGGATTACTCCCTCAAGGACAGGAAGCCACCTACATGGGCCCAGTCCCACCTGGGCACAAAAATCCGTCTCTATGCTGAAAATCAACACAGGGTTGGGGCAGTGAGCACACAGTACTGAGGTGGAGAGGACAAGCTAGCAAGGACACACCTGCTGCCCACAGGGGCAGGGTTCTGGTACCTGGACCACAGACTTCCCATCCTGTGGCTTCCTCCACCAGCACAGAGCAAGAGGAAGCCAGCTTGGTACCTGCTGTGGGGGTCCTTATGTGCAGAGATGAAAACAGATCCCTTGGCATCTCCTTGGAGAACTCTCGCAGACTATGGGCGGGGTGGGGTTGGGGGTGCAGGAGGGCAGGACTCGCTCCTCAGCAGAGCTCACAGAGATGAACAGCTTAGGCTCAGCCCCAGGTCTGAGGGATTTGGACCTCCCTGGTGTGTACCCAGGTGTACAGGGCTTAGGGCACCCTCGCCCTCCAAATGGGTTTGGTTATATCCAGGGCTCTGGCCCATAAACTGAACTGATGTTCCACAGTTTTAGAAAGATTCAAACATACGTTCAAAGGGTCAGAGTGCAAACATCAGGAGCTTGGGGCGACAGGCTGCTGAGAGCTTCTCAAATCTCAGAGCAGGGGGCCACAGGACAATGGGAATGAAAACAAGGACAGGTTCTTGAATGTCCTCACGCTACTCTGTGGACTGGGCCGAGTCAGGAGCCCTGTGCCACTTTCCTGAACCCCTTTCTTCTGCGTAGACAACACCAAAAACGAAAGGGCTTGTCCTCCGCTTGGGAGCCCCGCCATCTTGCCGGGGAAGGCGGAGAGGGCAGAGGACGCCGGCACAGCAAACCCCACAGGTGGCGAGGTCTGTTCCACAGTTCGGATCCTGCCTCCACTCGGCAGACGGGCCCGGGGTCTCCCACCACCACAGCCCATCGGCCCTAACGCCCCTCTTGGAATATTGCACTTTTTCTGCTCTCAGATTGTTTTCATTTTCGATTGAGAATGTAAAATATTTGGAGGGGGCTGGGGAAGTGAGTAACCTTAAGGAAATAATATATTAGTTAAATACAAAAAAAAAAAAAAAAACTTCAGGAAAAATAGGGATAATTTTATCATTTTTTTGCCCCTTGAAAACAAAAGAAACTACCAAACCAAGGTCTAAACTTAAATAGGTCTACATCTATTCTGCAAGTACTAGTAATATGAAAATAATGCCTGGCCAAAATCCCTCGTCCCTTTTCCTTAGAGGATGAAAGTAGTAACATGCTTTACTGAGGAAAGCGATGGCTATAAATGCCAGTAAAATACGCTGCTCTAACATCTGAAAGTGATTACAATGATTCTATATAATGCCTTCGTCAGGATGGAAACTTGAGGAAGAAAGAGAAATCGGGGGCCAGGTTGGGGTGGACAGGCTGAGACCTGGCCCCAGCCCCTGGGTGGGAACCTGCAGCACCAACAGCACATCTGCCGCTCGGGGTGCCCCTTCCTGCTCTTCCTCGCTGCGCCCTGGGCTTGCTGTGACACAGGGGCACAGTGGGAGAGAGAGGAAGGTCTTTTTTTCCCTTGTCATCAAAGAAAAAGGTCTTGAGGCTGAAGGAAGAACAAAGCACCACATGATGCATCTTCGGGCATTATATAAACCGCAATAATGACCTCAGAAGGGCTCATTATGATTAAAGTTGCAGTATACAGCAATACACGTCATTTCACATTTTCAATCGCAACCAATGGAAAGCTAGGTTTGGACACTGCTGAGATTTCATTCTTTTTTTCTTTAAGTCTGATCTGGTTTTCCTCCAGATGGGTCAGAGCCCAGGCCTCGCCCTCCTCTGCCGCTGCCGGCAGCCCCCTGGGAAGTCACAGAGTAGCTCAGTAGCTCTAGGGAAGGGCGCTCTCGCCCTGCCTCTGGCTAGGAGTCCAGGGCACGCGGCACCCGTGGCCGAGTCTTAGAAGGATTGGCGTGCACCTTTTTGCTTCAAGTATTAAAACTTTAGGTCTGCAGGTGTGTGCTCTGCTGTGAGCGGGGCGTATGAGGGGGCAGTGCAGGGACAGGCCTGTGGGTCCCCGTTCACTGCCCCGATCTGTGTGATGTCACCAGGTGGCAGCAGTTTCCACTTGTCCTGGATGCCTGAGCAGCTCCCAGCCGACCTGGGCTGGACGGCACAATGTAAACATGATGAGCACACGGTAAACTGGGGGCAGGGCGTGGGGAGAGGAGCTCAGGATTAACGCGGCGGGAAGTGTGCGGTGAACCAGCCGCGGGACTCCGGGGAAGTCATGTCCGGGCCTGGGGCTGCAGTCACAGAAAGGGACAACACGGGGACCTCCTGGTGCCTTCGGGGCAGGCTTTTCAGTCAGTGACTGCAGTTTCAGGGCACTGGGAACCTGGGAGAGGGGCTCTGAGAGACACTCAGGGGGCTGAGGAGAGCCTGCCGGTGGGCGGGCGGGCCCTGGAGGCTCCGGTCGGCTCGTGCAGGCAGCTGAGGAGGGGAGCTGGGGCGCCCCCGGGAAGGCAGATCTGTGGAAGGGCCTCTAACCCGACAGTCTCTGCTTTTACATTTTATTTTAAATAATCATAAATTACTTTTTTCTTTTAATAAATATGTGCTGTTTAAAAATGAGAAAGTATATACTGCATCTTTAAGTAATGCACTTTGCTCTCTGGGCTTTTCATTCCATCTTAAAGTGCATTAATTAAAAATAATGAACCACTTCTTTATCATTATTGTTCAAATAAGTACAAATAATATTAAAATGAAGACACTAAACCACTACCATTAGTACTGCAATCTAGCAGATTAACTCAACATCCTGCTCTATTTAATACTGTCCAGCAGAAAATATATATATATATAACTAATTTCAGTTTTAAACTCACGAGCAAAACAAAAGGAAACAAACCACCTCACCATGGCCCTTTGACAACAAACGTGAGCAGTGTGCCGGGCAAGGTCTCTGGTATTGGGGCATCTGAGACACCGATCTGCCTGGGAGGGGTACACAGCCCCACCCAGCTGGTCGATCATTTGATGGGTTGATTGACTGGTTGATCAATCGATGGGGCAGCCCCGGCAGCTGCTCTGAGGCCTGATCTGTCCCAAACAAAGGCACATGCGGAAATCCACTCCCAGCAGTGGGGAGTCCTCAGGAAGCCACTGGTTTCTTGTTGGAGGGTCCCCTCTGAAATGTCAACCATTGGAAACAGCCTGGAGCTGACAGGCGACCTGCAGGGGACACCATCCTCTGCTTCCCTCTTCACTGGGGCGCTGCCTCACGGGAAGACCACGCTGGCATCTGGCACAAGGGTCCTCCATCTTCTCTGGCGTTGCCAGCAGGCCAAACGGGACAGCTGGTGGTGTCCATTCTGGTCCGCCCCAGGGCCCAGGTGGGGCCTGGGCCAGGGGCCATGGCCACTTCTCCACAGGTCCTATATAAGGCTTTTGGCTCCGCGCAGTGGGGGAACACACACGAATGGCGGCCACCACAGCCCGCAGCTGCCTCCCCTCTGATGTCTGGCTCTGAATGGTGGTCCTCCCTTCTGCGGAGAGACATTACTCCTCCAGCCCTCAGAAACTGGGCAGGAAGAAGGTTCCTGTCGCTGAGTATGGGACTGGCACCTACCCAGCCCGATCCCTCTGGTGGGTGCCCCACCCGAGCACCGTCCACACAGTGGAAACCAAATGAAACGACTTTGGCATCTGGTAGGGGAAACACGTGAACCAGAATCTAAGCAAACCCCTCCCACAGGGCACAAGAGAAGCCCACCCACAACCTGCCTGGCCCAAGTGAGGCTGGCATCCCCGGACTCCCAAACAACCCAAAAGTAAGACCGAAACCGAAGGCCTGACATACAACCCCCGAATCAATAACCCTCTGGAAACACCTGCTGAGAAATACCTAACACTCTGCAGGTGACCATGCCTGCCGGGAACGTCTCCTTCCTGCCCGGAGAAGGGCAGAACAGGCACATCTAAAAAGGGTGGCCCTTCAGGGCGCTTTGGAGCCACCTTTTCCTCTACTCTAGAACACCGACAGTGGTCTGGCCCAGGGGCTCACAAGCCCGCCAAGCCCCAGGGCCAGCAGTGTCAGCATACACACACACACTCAGCTCCCCTCCGAGGGCAGTGGCCATCCCAGGTAACCTTGAGCAATTCACAAAGACATATGAGGGCAATACAAGGGTTCCCTCCAGGGTAAGGGCTCTGCCCCAGAAGAGCCAAGCAGGGCAGGAGCCTGGAGGCCCCACCAACCACATCTTTTCCAGATTTTTGGCAAAGGCACAACTGGGGTTTCTTGAATGGCCTGTCCCCAGTGGTGCGGTCCACCAGCAGGGTTGCCACAGTGCACGCACGGGTCCTAGCCCCGGTGCCCCCCCTTTCCTGCTCACCCCCTCCCTTCTAGTTGGGGAGTGGCAAGGGAGGTCCCACTTTCTGCAAGGTTTCACACTGTCCTTCCCCTCAAGTCTACAAGTCACTGCTTACCCAGCAGTAGCTACAGAGCCACACAGTGGCTGGGGTCGGGTGGGGGGATCCTGTGGCCTCCGCTAGTTTTTCTTTTCAAGGTAGTTGGAGGGCACCCAGCCTTTGAAGGGTTTCACCTCATCCAGGATCTGGCAGTACCACCAGCCATTGGGGTTCCTCTCCAGCACCTCCATGGACACCCCCTCCTGGAAGCCTGCTGTCTCCTCATCCCCTTCATAGTCCGCAATAGAGACATACATGTCTTTGAGGTTATTGTGGATGAACTGGGATTTCTCGATGGGTTTGGGGCGCACAGGGGACACAGGGACGCAGTTGCGCTGGGCGGGCAGCAGGGGTGAGTCTGAGCCCTGGCTGGCAGCACGCTCTGCCAGGCAGCCCTTGGCCTCGGTGGTGGCCGAGCGCGCAGCACTGAAGGAAGAATTGCGGCGGACGCTGCGAAGGCCGTCCGTGGCAGTGAGTGACTCGTTTCTCCGCAGGGCGCAGGACAAGTTGTTGTCTTTGAGCGGTGGGGACACAAACACGGACTGGGGCCTGACTGCCACCTGCCGCACGCCATTCCTCATCTTTACAGCCGCGGCACCTGAGGGCTTGCCGAAGCCCCCGGGGGGCTTGGAGGGGACAGGCGGTGTGGCCCTCTTGCTCTGGTTGACAGTGTTGAGCACCTGCACGCGCCTCTCGATCTTCTCCAGGCTGTCTGACTTGCCCTCCCCCGGCCTGCCCTTCGCCACATCCAGCTCGGGCTGCTCCTGCTGCTCGGGCACTAGGTAGTGGGAGGGGGCCCAGCCCTCCAGCTCCCCGAAGCGGACGTACCACCACCCACTCTCCAGCTTCTCCAGCACTTGCACCTCGGCGCCTGCGGGGAAGCTAATCTCCGAGTCCTGGACCTTCTGGTAGGCGCTGCAGGTCACGTAGGAGGCAGCCGGCCCTTCCCACTCCTTCCTGGGGGCACATGGGGCAATGGCAGTGGGGAGGGTGATGACATCAGCCGAGCCCCTCCTGGACCCCGCACTGGGGCCCTCCGATGCTGCTTGGGGGGGCAGCTCTGAGTCCTCACTCCTGGAGCCCTTCAGGCCCCCACGGAGCTGGCCTGTGGGCCTCAGCTGGCGCCGTAAAGTGCTGATGTCCATCTTCTCTGGACTCTGAGACTCAGCTCGGCTCAGTACCGGCTTGGGTCGGAGAGACGGCTTGGCCCGCGTGCAGGAGGCCAGCCCGGCCTTCGTGTCCACATCTTTCTTGGCCCCAACCTTGGGAATGCCACGGATGCCTGCGTCCGAGGCAGAGCGGGGCTTCAGGTCCCCACTGTTCTTGGACAGGGAGGAGGAAGAGGAGGAAGAGGAGGAGGAGCAGGTGGTGTTGATGGTGATGGACGAGGAAAAGGAGGCCGAGGAGCGGTTCTTCCCCAGTTCTGCCTGGGCGTTCTTCTCTGCCTTGAGCTTTAGGAGGGAGGCTGACTTGGGGGAGTTCTTCCTGGCAAGGGACAAGGAGGAGCCTCCTGGAGAGTCACTGTCCCCGGAGGAGCCTCTGGCCGACAGGGTGTCCTCTGGGTATGGCTGGAAGCCCTCATTCTCGTAGATGGTCTCCTCTTCCAGAGCCACGTCCTCTGATGACTCGCCCACCTTGAAGCGGGCCCGCTGCAGGGAGGAGGCAGGCGAGGGCCTTCGGGGCTGGGCTGGCCGCCTGTCCTCCGCACCCCTGTCCTCTGCAGGCTCTTCGCTCAGCTCTGGCTCTGAGTCAAAGCCAAAGGCGGGGGTGTCATATTCAGGCTCCTCATATTTGAGCTTCAGCGGGGACTCCTGGCTGTCGCCAGCAGCTGCGGGGGCCTCCTCGGCCTCCTTGGGCTTGCTGGGGGGTGCCGGCGGGGGCACCTTGGGCCGGGTCAGCGTGCTCGTGCGGCGGTTCAGGTTGGGCTTCTTGCGCTTATCGATGTAGGAGGCGGGCGCCCAGCCCTCCTTCTCCCCAATCTGCACGTACCACCAGCCACCCGAGTTCTTGTCGATGACCTGAAAGAAGAGGGCGGGTGGGCAGTGAGTTGGGGGGCGGCTCTGAGCCGCGGGGGGCCTCCCAGATGAGTGTCACACGCCAGCTGTAGGCCACCTCACCTCCAGTTATGGATGAGAAATGAGTACTTGGGCAAGGAGCTCAAGACCAGGGTAGCGAATGCCAGATCAGAACTCAAGCCCCGGTCGGTAGCACCCCCTGGCTGGAGGCTCTCACTCTCCAAGACCCTTGCCCTGATCCTCCAAGCTTGTCAGTACTGGTCAAGCAGACCCCCTCCTTTCACTAAGCCACCCTTGTGCCCAGCCCTTGCAACTCCCAAGTCACATGGACCCACGTCCTCTCGGAAATCCTTGTAAGGTTTTCTCAGGTGACCAGGAATGATGTAGAGATTTTTTTGGGGGGAGGGTCTTGCTATGAAGTTCAGGCTGGCCTTGAACACTAGTGATTTTTCTGCCTCAGCCTCCTGAGTGCTGGGATTACAGGTGTATACCACCATGCAAGATGTAGATTAATTAAATAGGCAGGTGCTGTCCTGAGGCCCAGGCCTTGAGGCCCAGTGTCTCCCCAGCGTCCACTGCCTGAGGAAATGAACCCTCACCAGTTGGAGAGATTCCTCAGGACCAAACAGTTTCCTGGGAAGAGAGGGGCTTTGGTTATTCCTAAGGAGTATATTGAACTGGCTCAAGGAGCTTTTCCCTGAACGTCTACCTGACGTGGGCTAACGTCAGGAGTGTGGAGTTGGGCTATGCGGGGCTCGCCTGGCCTGGAAAGCATCAAGGTAAGTAAGTTGGGACTGTGGGGCATGCCTCGGGGGAAGAGGTCCCAGGGAGAACCCGTATGGAGGGCCTGGAAACACCAGTACTGTGGGGTGAGGCTCAAGGAAGGGCGGGAGAGTGGGAAAAGCCCGGGCCAGCTCTCCCTCAGGTGTGTTCTTCTTCCCGAAGTCCTCCATCCACCCTTCATCTCAGGCCACCCTGTACCTAAACCCAGCCTCAGGCAGGTCCAAAGCACAAAGCCTCTGGGCTTTCCAGAAACCTAGGACTCATGGAGAAAATCACTTCTTTTGGAAATTTAGCTCCAGTCCCAGACGTGAGCAGGAACACTCCCGCCGGGGCTATCCCCTCTTCAGGTGGCAGCAGCTGCCGGCGAACCCGACAGTGTCCTGTGTATTACTTGGGTTTAACTCTGTGACTACACAATGCCACTGGAGAAGAGTGGCCGAGCCACAGATCGCTCGTGCCCCCATGTCCCAAATACCCCCTTGTCACGATTTTTCTGTGACTCCTTACAGGTCCAACTCTGCCACAGGGGTGCCAGTACAAAAAAAAACCCAGCTCCTGTGGGGCTACATACTACCTGTGGTTGCAGGTGCCTCCTGGGCCTTGGGGTGGTGTCCCCATGGCTGAGGAGGAGTGAGCACAGAGCTGAGTAAGTGTGAGAAGGCCAGTTAGGGCGGCACGGAGGGTCTCTCGTCCCTCTGCAGAGAGAGCTATGCAAAGCCTGCGAGGGAAAAGCGACGCCAGAGGCCAGGGGTGCTGTGCTGAGGGCTGGGTTCCTGGCACGTTATTGTACCTGCCCAGTCTTCTCCTGACAACAGCACTTCTGGGTGTGGATTCTGTAGGCCTGGCCCTAGGCGGCTCCTGAGAGAACAGGCTCTGGCCCACACACCAATGGGCCAAGACTGCTACCTTGGTGCCCTGGAGGGGACTTGGGGCCATCTCTGTTCTATGCTCTGCAAAGCTCTGCAATCAGAGCATTGAGACCCACTGCAGCCTGGCGTGGCGCGCAGGCCTACAATCCAGTGCTTGGGGATGCCAGGGCAAGAGGATCACAGGTCAGAGCCCAGCTCAGGCAATTCAGGGACTTAGCAAGACCCTATCTCAAGAAAAAAAAAAAAAAAAAAAAAAAAAAGGCTGGGGATACAGCTTGGTGTGAAGTCCCCGAGCTCAATCCCCAGAAATGTACAGCAGCCACCCTGTGGTCTTAGCTCACACCCCACCGCACCCCTTTGTTCCTGGGCATGTCTTGTCAGCAATCAGCACATACTTGTAGCTGCGTGGCTAGCTTTGGCACCATTCCTACTTACCCCTCACCCTAGACCTTGCTGTCAAGATCTAAACTCGAGTTCTAAGCCCTTGGCCATGGTGAAGCAAACAGCCCTTAGCCCAAGGTTTACCTCTGCCTTCTGTCCTCCCCGGAAACTTATCCCGTCGGAGATGCAAGACTGGAACTCAGCGATGGTGTAGTACTCCACCTCAACGGAAGGGGGCTCTGGTGGCTTGGGCAGCTGGAAGCCCTACAGGGCAAGGAGAACAAGGTGAGCCAAGCCAGCTGACCCGGCCAGTAACAAGGCCAGGGCTGCTGCCCACTGGGCCTCAGCATGTGCGCGTGGCAGCTGGCCCAGGTGGACGGCAGCTGGCCCAGCAGGCCTCTGTCACGTGTCTCAGGTCCACCCTCACCTGTGGGAATGCTCACTGCTAACATGAATTTCTACCTTCTCATCTCATGAGGATCAGTGTTTGGGTACCTCAACCCTGGGTCCCCAAGTGAGAACGAAAGAGCAGTGAGGTTCTAACAAAGCCTGGACATGTGCCTGGTGGAACCACAGAGCTGCCGCCCTGCAGGTGGGGCACCTGGCAGAGGGAGATTCAGGGGCTGAGGGTGAGGTGGGCACACAGGGGGCAGTGGGGTCAGGTGAGGAAGCTCTGGCAGTACCAACATCTGGATAGGCGGGCCTGAACAGAGTGCCGGATCCCTACTCTCTGCGGGCAGCAGAACACACCGACGCCCTAACTGGCTTCTACCTTTTGTCATGTTGGGCACTGAACTCAGGGTGCTCTACACTGAGCTACACTGCCAGTCCTTTTTATTCTTTGCTTTGGGACAGGGTCTAAGTTGCTCAGGCTGGGCTTGGATTTGTAATCCTCTTATCTCATCCTCCTACGTAGCTGGTGTTACAGAAATGATGTGGCGCCTCCCTATGCTTTCTGGACATTGACACAGCAAATTCCCAGTACTGTATTCAAGGATGCTTAGGATTTGGTCTCAGCTGGGCCTGGTGGTGCCCACCTGTAATCCCAGTATTTGGAGGCTGAGGCGGGAGGCTTGCTGTGAGTTCAGGGCCAGCCTGGACTACACAGTGAGATTCTGCCTCTAAATAAACAGGCAAATAGATAGATAGATGAATTTGGCCTCAGCCCCCGCTCTGTGACCCTTGTCCATTTGTTTCTTAACTTTGCTGTGCATCGCCTATGTGCCAGATGCGGGTCCAAAGCCCTTGGCACCTAGCAGGCGACCAAGGGATCACCCAGACCTGGTGATCAGTCGCTTCCACACACCTGCCCTCTGGCTAAAACAGCTCTGTGTTCTCCTCTTTATATCCTGTCTCATACAAAAGGGGTGAAAACAAAGAGAACTGAAAAAAACCAAAGGTGGGGGGAAGCAGCTCTGGGGTGTCGGTGTCGGGAAGGCCGAGAAGGCCCTTGGGTTCCAGCCCCAGTTTCACCAGCAGTGTAGCCCTGGGCCCTTGACCATTCTGGGCCTCAGTTTCCTGATCTGAAAAACAAAACTAGTATTGGGGCCATTAGAAGGATTGCTCAGACAGTGTACATGATTTCTACCCAGTGAGGGGCCCTATGAAGAGGTCAAGAAGCAAAAGCCAGAGGTCCGCTGCCCTCAGACCCTCTTCTCTTCTGAAGCTCTCCCATCCTCCAATGTTCACCGTGTCCCAATTCGCTGACCAGGATCAAAAGTGAGGGCTGGGAGGAAGCAGCCAGCTTGCGCGCCCTGGGCCCGCTCTGCGGCCCAGCATGGCACTCTCAGGGCCTACAGGGTCAGCAGCTTGCCTGGGCAGTCCGCAGATCAAGTCCGCCAGAAGGTCAGCCGGGGCTAAAAGAGCCGGGAGGGAAGGTGCGCTCACTGCTGCAGGCACAGAGAGAGGTACTTGCTGGGACTGACGACCGGGCAAGGAAGGTCTGGAGTCTACACCGGGGTGGAGTCTTCAAAGGCCTTTTGTACAGAGGGCCGCCTCTTCCTCGGACCAGTGGAAGCTATCACTGGTCACTGGCACCCACTGCTAAGCCCAGGTAGGAGTTAAGCGCACCAGCTAGGTCTGCTCAAGGGTCCGAGTCAACCCAGGGCACAGACACCAGCCTGCATGGACGATCGCATCTCATTTTTCTGGCAGTCCCACAAATAGATACAACTGTCTCCATCTTATAATCAGGAAGTTGAGGCCTGCGTGGGGTGACTTTTAGGGTCCCTCTGCTCCTAAGAGTCAGGAGGAGAATGTGCACCCACACCTGGCAGGCTCCAGGCTCTGATCCTACCCCGCGTCTTGTGCCTGTGATGGCAGTCCTTGGTCCTAGACCTCAGCTTACTACCAGCATGCTCCCCTGTGGGCCTGGACTTTGCACACCTGCCTGCCTGAGACCCCAGTCACCTGGAGATGCCACCCAGAAGAGTCAGGGACCCCAAGAGCATCAGTTCTCTTAAAGCTTTGGTGTGAGCTGCTCCCTACGATGCACCATCCCTGCAGGATGCTCTCTGGTCTGCCTCTCCCTCACAGGCTCTGGCCGGGCGTCTGCCCCACGTATCAGGCATTCCTGAACAAGGCAGAGCAGAAAGGCTTCAGGCCATGCGGGCAGCAGGCCTGCTTCCAGCAGCTCGCAACGCTCAGCTGGCCACCCCGGCGGGCCAGTCCAAAGGCTCATGCCCACCAGTGCGGTGGCTGAGACGGCTTTGTTTAGCTTTGGAGTGCAGTGCATGTCTGACTCCAAGCTGTGCATCTGGGCTCTCAGAAAGGTACAGCTCTGCCCACTTCCCTCTCTGCCCCGAGTCCCACAAAGCCAGTGCTGCTTGACCACCATTCTATGCTCTGTGGTAAGACGGCCAGTGCTCAGGGCTGCTGCGCCATCCCCAGGAAGAAAGGAGAAGATGGTCACCACACGTACCAGGCTTGATTCTCTTCGAGGTGGAGGTCTGGTCCTCAAGTTTGGGGAGTCTGGAAGAGACATGGCTTCATGAATCCCAGCCCAAGAATAGGGTTTCCCTGGCCACAGTTTTGTTTTTTTTTTTGCGGAGCCAGGGATTGAACTCAGGCCCTTGCGCTTGCCAGGCAAGTGCTTATTCAACTGAGCTATCAGCCCAATAATAGGGAGCAGGACCTATACCTGTGTTCTCTAAGCAGCACCCACCACACGGATGGGGGGCCTGATGCCCTCAGTCACTGTGGGCGCAGGGAGACACAGACCTCTACGGCTTCCCTGGTTATGTTTTGGGGGTCCATGAAGGCCCTACGTCAGGTACAGACATTGCAGGCACTGTGCGGCTACACAGCTTTATCCGATTTTCAGTCGGAAGCGGAGAGCAGGCCTACTTCCTGCTCATTCCCGAGGTCCCAGAGCTAGCACAGAGCCCAGCAGGAGGGGCACCAGTTGGAGGTTTCCCGACTGGCTGCCTAAAAGCTCTCAGGCACGATATCTAACCTAAGCTCAAGGCCAAACTATAAAAACACCCAGGCTATATGAATGGCAGGACACAACCCAGAGCAGGAGTACAGCTGGTCCAGAGGCTGAAGATGCTGATCTGAGGTCCCTGGAGGATGTCTTATTGCCTCCAATTCCTGGCCTCTTAGGGCCCGAAGACTGGTGGAAAGTGAGAGGGAAGTGGCTACAGCCAGAAGATATTCTTCCACATCTTTGCTCCACCAGGGCATAGCCCACCCCTCCCCCTGATAGCCCAGGACAGCCTATGTTCTGTTTTCGTAAAAATCAGCTATACACCAAAATGACTATTTAAGGCCTCTACTCGGGAGACAGAAAATACTTCTGCTTCGGCACATGTGCCTTGGCCAAGGGGCTACCTCAGCTCTCACCTGGGAAGGACACCTCACCACCCCTGCGGCTCATCTTCAGAGCAGCCGCTGCAGGCACCAGGGCACCCTCTCCCCTGTGCCGAGCACGAAAGGAGCTGACAACATGAGGGGCAGGGAGGAGAAGGCGTGGCGGGGACCTGATGCCCTCCGGCCCTCCTTACACCCGTGCCTGCCCTATAAGAGCAGCCAGAGGCCAGCCAAGGGCTTACTGATCTGGGCCCTCTGCGGGGCGATCCTGGCCACAGCTGGGGAGCCCTGGGCCAGCTTGGAGACGGTCCTCTCTGGAACACCCAAGGCGCTGCCGTTGGAGGCGTTGCACAGAATGGGCAGGCTGATCTCTTTCTTAGCAACGGGGGCCTCGGAGGCCTCGCTTTCAGCGGACTGCGTCTCCTTGTCCCCAGATGTCTTCTTGTTCAACAGGTTGCTGATCTCCATGATGTTCCCAATGATCTCTACAGGGCCTGTGAGATTCTTCTTCCGGGTCGGCAGGTCGTCCTTGGCTTTCTTTAGGTAGGATGCTGGCGCCCAGCCCTCTTTGCCCAGGTACCTGTGGGGAGGAGTGGGTCACACCAAATTAGAGGTCTGACGCTTGGTTTCACTGTCTACTCCTGGGCCCAGGTCTCCACCTAGCCTCAGCCAGCCAAGCCTCCTGCACCACACTTTTTTGGGTACTCGGCACACAATCAAAGGGAATTCTCAAGGAGAAAAGAAATAAGATGGCGTGAATGTGGTGTAGCAGAGATGGCAAGCCTTTCAGAGTTCTCACTGGAAGGCCGGCTGTGGCATGCCTGCCGTGTTTACCACTGCTAACAACACTGGAAAGAGAAGTGTCAAAGAGGAAAGAGATGTCGCAGGCAAAAGCTCTAGCCTGCCACCCTTGGACAAGCTCCTTCACAGGAACTCACTTTTCTTTCCACAAGATCAAGGGTAGAGCAGCTGCTAGAACGTGTCCAGAAGGACAGACACATGGAGAGCCCCTGGGAAGACGGGCGGCCAAGCCTGGCGGGCATTACTGCACGGGGTGGGTTATGTTCACAGAGCTAGGTCTGCAAAGAGGCTCATGGGAACATTGGAAGCTGGCGGGGCAAGGACAGATTATTGAGGAGGTGATCTGAGGACAACTCATTATTCAGTTACAAAAGGCAAGGGAGACCTGACCTTACACCATAGAGTAAAAATTTAACGAGCTGTGAACATTTATCTAATTGTAGGGGTTTTGAAAGCTGCTCTACATTTTTTTTTTTTTTTTTAATTTTAGGGGAGGGTCTACAGGGTGTTCAGAGTCCTACTACTAGATCAGACTCGTAGTGATCCGCTCATTTAAAGCCTCCCAAGAGCTGGGATTACAGGCGTGCGCCACAATGCCCAGTCTCAATTGCGGTCTCATTGAGCCCTGGGGTGGGGCCAGCAGGGCAGGCCTGGGGATTGAACCCCCGGCCCCTGCGCTTGCTTGCTTTAATCCGCTGAGCTATTTGGCTGGCCCTCTACAGGGGACTTAAAAGCAGAAACTAGGAAGCTAGGGATGTAGCTCAGCAGCTTGGTGCCTGGCAAGCGAGAGGTCCTGAGTTTGATTCCAGGTACCTCCTCTTCCTACTCCAAAAAAGAGCAGAAACCGTAAATAACAAGATAAAAGCACATCACAAGGAGAAATGAAAGCTATTGGCATGGAAAAAAAAAATGAAACAAAACCAAAAGCTCATGGACAAAAGCAAAAGGCAAGTGATAGGGCTGGCTTAATTTTTGGGGACTCGATGATTCTTTAAAACAAGCTCTCCTCCCCCCTCTCCCCCAAGGTGTTGAGCTTCATGCAAATCCAGTGGAGCTCGGTTCCTGATCCAGCAACTGCTGACCAATGTCCCCAAGTCTGGCTAGTGATGTCCCCACCTGCGCTGTGGGACACATCTGGGCCTTTGGAATGACTTCCTGGCCAGATGTCTGACAACTTCCCCTGTCCCCAGAGTGACCTAATTCTCTGGAAGCCCATTAGGTCTGGGAACAGAGCACGAAGCTGAGTTCCTATGACTGCGTCTGGGTTTGCTGGGATGCTCGGGTAGAAGAAGGTGACTCATGACAGCCGCATCACAGGTGTGTGTGATTGGCCCAGGTGCACCTGCCGGGGGCACAAGATGTAAGTATCAGTGGGCCAAGGGATGGAGGCTGGGCTTGCGACTGTAGGAAGTCTTCCCGGACCCCGTCGTGGTCTGCTGAAGTTTACTTCTATAATCCCAGGGGCAGTTATTTCAATTCCAATGAATTAAAGACTGCACATCAGCACCTCGGCTTGACCCATCTGCATGGCTGAATGACAACTGAGAGGATAAAGAAATATCCTAGCCAGCTCTGTACATATCAATACACGGAAGGAGGGCCAAATGCTCCTCTTTTAAGGAGGTCCCCCACATAGGACCTGTGGCTCCTGACAGTTCCTGAATGTACCAGGTACAGACAGGAGCAGAGTGGCAAGGATGGATGGAAGCACCGAGTGCCCAAAATTGGCACAGCAGTGCATACCTGTGATACCCCGCACCTGGGAGGCTGAAGCAGGAGAGCCCTGAGTTAGAGGCCAGGTTGGGTTACACAGCACTATCAAAGAAAACAAAAAGCAGCTGCAACTAGTACCTAACCTTCCTCTCAGCCAGTAGCCGTGGTGTGGAAGAGCAAAGCAAGCAGCAGAGGCTCCACAGCCTGCGCAGCAGAGCCTGGCTCGGCCCAACACTTTTGAACCCTAGAGAAAGGAAGGCAACAGCCCTGGCCCTTGCCCAAGTCTTTTTAGGTGAACACTGCGGAGCTCTGGGGAGCGGCGTGGGTGATGGGGAGGCTGCTCTAGCCTCGAGGGCTCTCATTTCCCAGCCCTCTAATGTGCTCCTTTGTGTGGCGTGGACAAGGCTTGGCTGAATGCAGAGAAGCACGGGGCAGCAGAGGTGACCGTGTGTGCCTGCGCTCGACTCCTGTGGCTGCTGCCCAGACTCGGAGTGTGGGGGGAGGCTGTGGGTGCACACGAGCATGTGTCCAGGGGTGGGAGGAGGGAAGGAAGAGAAGAAATGAAGATCAGTTAAGAGCCAGGGACAACGCTGGGACACAGCACAGCTAAGGGGTGTCTGGCAGCCTGCCTAAGTGGAACTGTTTCAGCAGGGTTTTCTCAGTTTATGCTCCTGTTGGGTAGACAAGTAAGGCTTGGGGGCAAGAACGGACTCGAAGCAGCTCAGACTGCTTTGGTTCAGCATTTCAGAAAACTAAAAACTGAGACAGAATAGAATAGCAGTCAGCCTTACAGAGGACTGCCAAGCAGATGAATGAGGCCACCAGCCTGCCAGGATGCTTGCTGGCCTCTGTCTCCCAGTGTGGCCACTGGCCGCTGGCGTGGCCCCAGTTTCTACTGCTCAGAGAACATGCAAGTCCAGGAGCCACAGCTCTGGGCAACACATGACCAGGTATGCAGTTCCAGCCTATCTAGTGGGTCGGGAAAGGACACCATGGTGCTGACTGGTAGGCACCAGTTACCAGGGGTGACTCGGAGCTGCCCCCATCAGGCCACACTGAGGCCTCCGAGTGACCAAGGCCCTCATCCTGTCCCTCAGCACACACTTGCCTCACAACAACTATCCCACAAGCACTTGTGTCACTTTGGTCATGCCACAGCACAAGCCCGCCCCCCAAGAAGACCACTCAGAACATGTCCTGTTCACGGTGGGTACGCCACTGCCTGCTGTGGCAGGTAGAGGCAGGGGCCCCCAGGGTCTACCCACTGACTATCACCCTCAGCAGGGTAGCAGGTCGAGGAGAGAGGCCAGGTAGAGTCCCCACAGTGGAGCAGCCCCAGGGGGACCAAAGGCATCCCCTGGAAGCAGGTATGCCAGAAGGCAAGTCCCTCCAGTGAAAGAGAGTAAAACCCACAGGCTTCCACCCCATGGTATCAGGGAAGCCCAACACTGCAGTGTGAGTAGGTCCTGTGCACGGAGAGGGCTGGGGAGGGTGGAACTCGTGGTGCCTGAGCTGCACGTGGCTCGGGCCTCACAGTCAGCCCCCCTCACAGGGACAGGGTTCCAGAGGCCCACATCCAGGCCCCTGAGCGCTGAGCTGTGGGCTGCAAAGGCCACCTGCTGGGATGTCAGCAAGGCCTATAGATGCCACCACTCCGGGCCCCAACCATGGAGCAAAGCAGGCCTGGCAGCTGAGGCTGGAGGCTGAAAACCAAGTTTATTTATTTTTTAAAATATTTTTATTGAGCAACAAATAGCAATGAGACAGTTTCAAATCTGACTAGTATGACAGTTTCAATAATTAATACATTACATATTGTTGACTTAGTAGTTATTCACTGTACAAGATGCAGACATGATATCCTGTCCACAAATACTATTAGAACAAATTTTTATATTCACTGAATTAAGAGAATGTAGCTGTGTATCTATCCTAACTACAAAATGGTCATTCATTTGTATCCCCTTTTTTTGTTTAGTTTTGTCAGAGCCAGATATTCCATTGTCATTTAAATAGTACAGGAAAACCAAGTTTAGATCTTGGAAACTTTGGCAGGTGCCACGGAGGGGCTGCACCACAGCCTGTGGGCTGAGCTAAGCCCTGTGCTGGGCTGGCTGAGCGCCCGCTTTCCAGCTCAGAGAACTGTGAGATGGGCTTCCTGCTGTGCGGAGCTGGCACAGCCGCCACGGGTGGCTTCCTGCCACCAGCTGGCCACCAGGGCTCTTACCTGATGTACCACCAGCCCTCCAGATTCTTCCGGATCACCTCCACAGTGACGCCCTTCTCAAAACCAATCTCGTCCTTGCTTTGGCTGGTGTAGGGCTGCACGGTGACGTACTTTTCCTCTGTGGGTGTGGGTGGGAGCAAGAAAGCAGTATTACTTGAGGTTGGGGCACAGGCCCTGCATCTCGTCCCCGGTGGCCTTGTTTAGCTGCGTGCCAAGGTGCCCTAGGTCAGTCTGCTTCCCCAGGGAAGGAGACCAGGCCTTGGGGTGGTAGTAGAGAGGTCATGAGGTTAGAGGTCGCGGCCGCTCCTGGGTGTCAAACCCAGCCAGGACTCAGCTCCAGGTGGCGTTGGTGTGAGCCGGTAGTCATGCTAGGCACCCCCGAGTACCTGGGGGCTCCCTCAGGCCCTCTATGCGTGTGCTGGGCTACCCGCTGTCTCTCCTGCATTCTCCTAGCTCTGCTCCCACCTCAATCCCTCAAATTCGCCCTTGGCCTAACTTTCCTACAGCTCTGGGGAGCCCTACCCCTAGTAACAGTGCATTATTTACCAAACGGTACCACAAAAACACAGGTACAGCAGGAGCAGCGAAGACAGTTCTTATGGCCAAACCTGCGTGTGAAGCTGTCCCCCTACCCCTGCAGGTAGACTCCACCAGGTGGCCGGGCACATGCCCCCCATAGCTCCTGGGGCTGCACCTGCTCCCATGGCTGCCAGCTGGCGCTGGGCCCCCCATAGAGCTTCCTATGCTGCTCTCGTGGGTGTGGCTTTTTCCCTCATTTGTTTGTAATATTGGGGAATGAACCCAGGGCCTCCTGCATGCTAAGCAAATGCCCCACCACTAACTGCACCTTGACTTTTTTTAGTTTGAGACAGGGTCTTACTACACTGTGACTTTAGGGTCCTGTTGGAAGTCTTCCTAAGGCACAGGGAAAAGGGCACCGCAGGAAGAGCTTGGGAGGGTACACGTGGGAAGGTGGGGTGCTGGGCACCTTCTTGGCTTCCTACAGCTCCCTCCAGTGCCTCTGCTCAGGCCACCATGTCTACTGGGGTCCTCTCCTGTCCTGGGAGGCCCAGGGGTAGAGCACATCTGGTCAGGGAAGGACACCCTGCCTACTGGGTGACTCTGCCCAGTGGGCGACTCAGGGCCCCAGAGGAGCGCCATCCCCCCACCCCTTCAGGAAAACAAGAACGCAAAGACAGGTGAGAACTGCCAACTTGGGAATGCCCTTGGGCTGCCCCAACTAGGCGGCTGAGACAGTCCAAGAGGAACGGAGGCTGAGGGTGGCACCAGGGCAGAGGAAGGCAGGGCTGGGCAGGGCTTGTGGAGAGCTCAGGGCAGGCGACCGCTCAGCAGCCTGCTCCCAGCTGTGACACCGCCCGGGATCCCGGCAGGACCCAGCCCGTGGCCTCCCACGGAGGTGAGAGGCCATCTGCTAGCTCTCCCGGGATCCCTAAGGTTCTTCAGCCTGTGCTGGGCCAACACAGCACTTTGCTTTGGAGACAGCTGTCCCGCCTCACCTTGGAGGTGGAGGTGGCTGTCCTGCCAGACTTTGGGAGAGAGCTGACGGGCCGATGGCCCCATCTGAAATACTGCGGAAAAGCAAAAGGTGGGCGAGGACAGCGAGGCCCGACTCTCAGCACACACCCCACACAGCAGGCAGGCCTTGCTCAGCACAGATGGACGGGGCTCCTCCTGGGGCCTTCCGATTCCACCGCAGTCCTGCTCGGGACAGCTGCCAAGCAGCCTGAGAACCCTGCCCGGCCAGATTCTGACTCGGTCTTGGACAGGTTCTGCGCTCTTCCTGGCCAGCCCTCCATGCTCGGGCCCGCTCCTGGTCTGGCTCCATTTTCCAGTGGGGCACAGTCAAGTCTGGCCTGAGCAGCAGCCAGAGTGGCAGCGCCAGACCTGGGGAGGCCAGGGCCCGTGGTCTACATTCTGCCTTTGTTCAGTGGGGCTATTTTTAAAAGCCCGTGGTTCAAGCAAGAAGCCATCATTATAGTTTCCTAGGCAAGGTCGCTTTTGCGGCGGAAAATGACAGCCCTCCTTGGGGGAGGATCAGAGGGACCTGGCCTCATGGCGCGGAACAGCGCCTGGACCAGCCCATGTGGGCACAGCCAGGCATGGCCGCAGATCCCAGGGGGCAGGCGAGGGACAGAGTCCCGTCGGCCATGGGATCCAGCTCACTCTGATCTCTGGGGTCGCATGGAGAGAACCATGGGTGCTGGCTCTTGCCAAAAAACTGAATGGCTGCTGCCACAGCTCCCGTTCTCAGGGATCTGGGGCTGTGGGACCATACTCTCTGGAACTTGCCGGGGCATCGGGGAGAGCACTGTCCTGCCCCACTCACTGTGGGCTCCAGGGAAGAGGAATTCAAGGCCCTGCTCCGTGGCATGGCTGGGTAGTCAAATCACTTCTTCCCCTTGTCCCTTGGGGGTCTGGTCAGCTCTGATGGCAGGGGTGTGGACACAGCCACATGGGTCTCAGGCCACCCCGCTCACAAGAGAGCTGAAGGATGAGCAGAGATAGACCTTCCACTGGACCTGGGCCACAGGCCCTATAGGACTTGGGGAGGCCCAGACAAGACAGCACCCAGGGTGGAACTGACTCCACGGCGGAAGGGTCACCCAGGTGGGCCAGGGCCTCAGGGCAAGCATGGAAGAAGGCAGCTGTGCCCTTGGGCCCTGCAGGGCTGCTGGAAGCACAGAGGTGGCCCTAGGGAGGGCTGGCCAGGCGGCTGTGGGCAGGGTGTGGGGGGCAGGCGGCCTGCTCTGGTCTCCAAACCACAGCACCTCCTCTTTCCAGACTTTTCCCTCTGTCAGCAGTCTCTCTACTCCCTTTCCAGCTCTGACAACTCACCTCCCCCAGAGAAAGAGATAGACAGACAGACACACACAGTCCACATGACTGCAAAGGCCTGGGTGGCTGGAGGATGGGGGACTGGAGGCCCCAGGAAGTGCTGCGCTCTCTCTCTTGTGCAGCCCCTCAGTGACCTGTGGCCCGCTGCCCCAAGGTTGCTGTTGGCAGGGCACTGCGGTGCCCAGCCAGCTGTGTGTGTGCCCTGCTTGGCTGCCTGCCTTCACTCAGCCCCAGGGCTAAGGCCAGGAAACTGTGCTGTCCAGGTCTCTTACCTAACAGAGTGCGCATGCTGCAAGTTAGGGGCGTGCATGGATTCATGGAGGGGTGGTTGTGGACCTGAGATGGAGGCGGTACGTGTGTCTGTGAAGACACCGCCCGTGTACATGCGGCATGAGGATCAAGTGTGTGTGTGCGCACACCCGGGAGGGCTGCTGCGAGGTGCACAAGAACAAGAGCTACTGTGAACAGGAGCTGCGGGTATGTGACTGTAACGTCCCGGGGCATGGCCTACATGTGGCCTCACAGTGGAACCGTGTACGTGGGCCTGAGGGTCACTGTGTGCATGGACGTGGCCCTGCAGTCAGGCTTGGGCTCAGCACATGGGGTAGATTCACCTTCACCCTGCTGTGAGACTCCAGGCTGTGTAGCCCAGCCCTCGCCAGAGCAGTTCCCTCCCTTCTGGCTTTGGGTGGCCTCTGCTCTATGCTTGGCCTGCTGCCCTTCCTAGAGCTTGGCCCTCTGCCCGGCAGGACAAGCCGGGCTCCTCCTGGCCGGCATGGAGCTGTGGCCACCCAGGAGTCCAGGCTCCCTGCTGCCTCAGACACTGAAACGTGCTCTCACTGTCACTCGGAAACAAGCAGGGATAGGTGGCGTCTCCGTGCTCCAGGATGGCCAGGACTTGCTACAGATACTCCTGGGGGTGACACGCTCGTGCCAGCTGTGTCCTCATCCTGAGGAGTACATGTGGGACAGGGGAAGCCAGTCACCAGTGGCCCAGGGCGAGGGTGCTGTGGATGTTCCGGGGGCACTCAGAGCCTTTCTGTCCAGCTCCGCCCAGAGCCTGGCCTCTGGGCCAGCCAAGGCCTGGGCTCCAGCATTAGCCTGCGGCTACTGCTTCCCTGGAATCCCCTTCACTCAGCTCTTCCTCCAGCCCCAAAGGCCGGTGCTCCTGGCAGGGCCTGGTCCTTATCAGTGCAGGCAGGTCTGGCTGGCACTGCCCTTCCTGGTTTGAGTGCAGCTGGCTGGACAGGACAGTTGTGGGTGATTCCTTCACTCTACTCAGTTCCCAAGCAGCTGAAAGGACAGAGGAGGTTGCTCACAGGGACAGCAGTGCCCTGCATCCCCTTGATCTGCAGTGACCAGGGCAAAGGTGACCTACCTCAGAGACCCAAAGGGCCCCTTCTTCCCTGTCCTCAGGACTGCCTTCCTTGCTGGAGGACCCACAGTTGTGTCTTAAGGCCCACAACCCACAGCCCAGGACGTGACCGAGCCAGAGCCTGGTGCCACCCCGATTCCCAAGCACAGCCCCTCCCTAGGCCCCAGTGGCAGCAGCTGAGAGGAGAGCCTGGCATGCGTCTAGGTGTGTCTGGAGGCCCCAGGCAGAGCAGAGAGAGAACGGAGGGGTTAGGAGGAGACGGGCAGCAGTGAGAAGCAAGTGGCCATGGTCACCTCGGCTGTGCTGCCTGTTGACCATTCCGCCCAGGGTCCACCGGCGATCCAGGCGCCGCTGATAGGCCTTGCGTCTCTTGGACACTGGAGTGGGAGATGGTGATGGCGCACGCAGCCGACACGAACCGGCAGAAAGAATGGAGATGAGGGTGAGATGAGGGGTGGGGTGGGTGAGGGCAGAGGGGGAAGGGAGCTGCACCCACTCCCAGCTGCCATCCCTTGCTCTGGGCTGGGTAGTATACTCAGAGGAATTGGCACAGATGGCTGGCACCATGGAACATTCAAAGGTCAGTGTATGGCCTGCATCTGCAAGTCACCTGGAGAATGTGGGGTCTTTGCACCTGGGACATGGGAAGTGTCCTCACGCCCTAAGCCTGGCTGCAGCCTGCAGGGAATGGAGAGGGCACCATTTCCGCAGATCCTGGATGGTGCCCATTCTCAGGAGTGCCTGGCACCCAACGGCACTCAGGCTCCACTCACTCACTTGTGAGTGTGCATTTGCCAGCATGGGCCAGGTGTCTCCTGGGGAAGGGTACATGTGTCCCCAAGAGCCTGGCGCCCCTTCCTTGCAGGTGCAGAACTCCCACACTGGGTTGTCTTTCAACTTTGCTTTCCCGCCCGTCCCCACTTGGCAGTGCCATCTTGGAGGGACTGGGACCTTGCCTGGAGCCTCTGTATCCTTGTGCCTGGCACTGGCCAAAGACAGGGTTGCTGAACGAGATACACACAGATGGATGGCACAGTCCCTCTGTGCCCCCTCCTGTCATCTCTGTTGGCAGGCCAGGCCTTTCTGTGCCTGAGACCCCCTTCCTTTGACCGTGCTCCCTGAGTAGACCCTGCCCTGGTCCTGGGGATGCCATATGCCCCTAGGTAGCACTGTGCCTAGCTGCCAGCTTGGGATGCCCTGCTATCCCACCTCCAGGACGGGTGGAAAGGACACTGAGCTGTAAGGTACGGGCTGGTCCCACCTCTGGGCACCATAGGAGGAGGCTGCGCAGATGCCCAGGCCTGGAAGAGGCAGAGCTTGGTGGCTAGAAAAAAAGTGTCCAGACATGCCTGGACCAACCCACAAAGCCTTCTGGGAAGTGTCTGCTCTCCCACAGGACAGTGGTCCTTGTGACCTGCCCATTCTGAGAGGGTGGCCTGGCCAGCTGGCCAGGAGGTGACTCTAGTCCGGCCCACTGCCAGCAAACTGTCACCCGGTGAGGCCTGTGACCTCATCCATCATAGGGTGACACTTCCTCCCCTGGCGTGGGCCAAGACAAGGGGCTGAAAGGACCTGCGGACACTAATTAGGTCCTGTGTGAGGCCTCCCAGGTGGGGCTGGCTTCAGGGCTAACTTGGCTTTTCTGCAAAGACAGAGCTGGGGCTGACGTGGGACTAGGGGCCACCCTCACAGAATGACCTTTCCTACCCGCACGCCTGTCTCAGTGTGAACCATGTACGACAGTTCACCTGAGCTTCCTAGAGGGCCTCTGTGGCAGGGGGCCCTAGCCTGACCACACAAACAGGAAACAGGCCCCAAGGTGCCAAGGAGACTTCCAGACCACACCTCCCGCAAGGCTGCAGGTGTGGAGCATGGTAGGCACAGCACAGTGGCCAGCGTCTTGGGGCTGGGGGACCCAGACCCAGGCCCGTCTGTGGATCTGCGCAGGAGACGCCTAAGGAGTGGTGCTGGACTCCACGGCTGGCCACGTGCAGCCACAGCTGTGGGCGCACAGGTCCCATGAGAAGCGCTGCAACACCCCAGCAGACGTGTACGTGAGCGCGCGCACCCTGAGCAGACTGCGCTGCTCTGTCTGATCTGCACTCTACTGAGTCTAGGTCCTCCGCACTGTGTCCGCTCACGCCCTCAGCTTCAGGGCTTCCACCGTCTGCGGGACCCCGCTGCCCTGCCTTCCCGGGGCAGCCTCTGCAGCCACACGCTCTCCTAGAGTGTGGCCCTGAGTGGCCCTTCTTGCTGAACAGCAGGTACTTCAGTAGGTGGGGAAGGCCCAGGGCCGAGAGGACAGGCACTGGCTGTCTGGAAGCTGTAGGCCTTACAGCTGGAGGTACAAGGACAAGAACAGTGTCCTCCCAGGGTGGTGGAGAGGGTGTCTAAAGCCCTGGCCCAGCACCTGGGCCTCTGAACGTGGACTTAGGTAGAGGAGGCCTTGGAACTGTGGGGAACTAGAGCAGCCCGGCTCAGGGCCACAGCTCTCTGCCTTGGCAGGGGCGTGGTGCGAACACAGCAGGGCTGGGAGGCGGCTCAGTCCCCTGGGAACTTGGAGCCCTCCCAGTGGAGCCGGGCCTTTGGAAGGAGACCTGCCACAGGTGGAGACACTGTGGAGGCCTGGTTCAGATCAGGGGCTGACACAGAGCCCTGACCCAGGAAGAAGGGCCGGGCCCCAGCTGCCAGCCAAGGAGCTTGATAAGCTGCTTATTTTGGACTGGGCAGCAGGAGAAGGGTGGAGGAATGCCTGGAGGCCTGAGCCCTATGGACGGCCTCCCTCCTGCTGTCTGTCCAACACACCCACCTGGACCATTGCCACTGGCCATCAGGGGAGGAGTCCCTGCTGCCAGGCCGCTGGAGGTTTGGAAGGCCTGAGGAGCATGGGGCTGGGAATCTACATGGCTCAGCCTCCTGCACCAGGGCAGCCTGTGCTGGGGTACGGTCTACAGACAGGCTGCCAAGGCCAGTGCTGGCCAGGGGCGAAAGACCAGGAGCACCTCACAGAGCCAGAGCCAAAGGAGGCCACTAGCTGTGCAGGTCTGGGCCAATCTCAGCCCCTAAGACCCGGTCAAGGACCTCATGGCTAGGTTAGTGGCCACCAGGACACTCAGACAAAAACCCAGTGAAAGCTGGCAATAAAGGCTGTCTCTGTGGGCCTTGACAAGGGCCCAGGACTTCCAGGGAGGTGTGTTCTAGGGTCCTAACTGTGTTCCCCACTCTCTGCCTAAGGTGGCCAAAGCCCGCTGTCCACACCTCAAGAGAATTTTGTTGCCAGCCCCATGTTGGAGCCAGCAGGACAGGCATGGGGTGGTGGGTAGGGAGCTTGTGGGTCAGCCTCAGTGTGGTGGGCCCTACTGGAAGGGGTGAAGAGACGGCCCAGCTCACTCTGGAGGTTCAGGTAGTTTTAGCGAGGAAGAGTAGGACAGCTGCCGCAAGAGGGGTTGAGCCCACCCCAGTGTTCCTACCCTGCCTCCCACCCCCACCCCACAGTCCCTTACCTTCCCCAGCCTTGGAGGTGTTGAGGTCCGAGTCATCCCTAGTTCCATTCTGGGCCTCCAAGTAGGTGGCAGGAACCCAGCCCTGTTCCTCAGAGGTGCTCACAAACCACCAGCCTGCAGAGAGGACCAAAGGAAACAGGCTATAAGAGGCTGCAGGATAGAGCAGGACAAGGGGACAGGGAGTGGCCAAGGCTAGGGTACGGAGCCAAACCATGTGGACGCCTGGCAGACACCTGGCTCGTGGCCAGCCTTGAGGGGCCCATGGCCAGTCGCAGGCAGAAAAAATCAACACACTCCCCAGGAAGAGGGCCCCACACGCTGTCCTTCATTCTTACACGTGTTCAATGAGAAAACTAAAACACGAAGCAGAAATAACGGCAGGCCCCACGTGTGAAGGGCCCGGCATGTGTGCGTGCACAGACCACACAGGGCCTTGCAGCCCGTGAGGGCCCCTGGGGTGGCCGCTCTGGGTCTCACAGGCACCCAGGCAGGGGCCTCCGGTCCTCTCTGGCACCCTGGCCAGGTTGGCTCAGCCCCATGGCCACTGCAGATGGTAGTGCCATTTCAATAACAGCAAGCAGACACTGTGTCCTGGCGTGAGTCCTGGTAGGTGTTGGGGAGCAGGCACCCACCCCCACTCAACTTCCAGGTGAAGACACTGATTCCAGGTGGCTGGATCCTAAGAACTGACACGGTCAGCATGTGCACGCGGCACCCTTAGGGGCTAGTGGCATCGGGGCTCACTTTGGGCCCAGGTCAGCTGGGAAGAGGGGGTCCTTGGCCCTCAGGAGCGTCCACTCGACCGCTGCCTGCACCTAGGCTGCTCTGGCTATTAGATTCACCCAAGAGGCCATTTCTGACTCTGCCAGCCACAGAGTACAGGGCTGGCAGGACCACTGGCTACTGACACGGTCAAAAAGGTCTTGAGCCAGGAGGACCCTGCGTGCCACAAGTCGGGAGACTGGGAGGTGTGATGGCATGCATGGTGGTCTCTGGCACCCTTCGTGGAGATGGCTAGCAAAAGCAGATGCCCAGGCAGCCCAGAAAAGGAGCAGTCGTGGAGCACGGCAGGGAGAACTGCAGCTGCTCCTCAGCACTCAGCCTGGGGAGCCCCCCACCCCCACCCCAGATTTACGCAGGGAAGACACAACGAAGGCTGTGTGGGTGGCCGCAGCCTTTGCATCTTAGGAGCCTGCCACATGGGGCTGCTGGGAGGGTGGACAAGCTTGCCACCGTCCTCTCCGAAGCCCAGGCCCCAGGCCTTGGCGGCTCAGGGGCTGAGGCCCAGGGAGTCCCGCTGGCAGTGGGAGGGCATGGACTTTGCTAGGGTCCTACTTGGGATGCCTCTTCCCTTGGCCTCCGGGGTGCACTCTCAGGAACCCCAGCAGTCTCTGCAGGGTTCCCAGCATTCTATCAGACTTAGGCTGGGCTCAAGGCACAGAATGCCCCACCTCACTGGACCTGCATCACCGGACCCGGCCTCCGGGAGCACGGAATGGGCATCCCTGGCCAACTGCACTTTTTTGGATGCTGCAACCCTCCAGGGTCCGCTCTGTGACCAAGCAAAGACATTCAAGGGATCTTCCAGGAACCAGTACGGGAGCTTTGATGCCCTGAGTCCTGAGTCCCACACAGGGCAGGAACTGCGGGCAGGTACAGCACAGAGACAGAGGCCGAGAGCTGACTGGTAAAGCAGCGGGGAAGACATGAGGTGGGACGTGAGCCGGCCTGCTACCCAGGTGCCGCCACTTCTACTGTGGTAAGGCCAGCAGACCTCACTGGCCTTCTCTGTGCAATGAGCCGAGGAGATTCTGCTACTGCTTAGTCAACGGGAGCTGGGATTCAATCACTGGACACAAGAGTCTTCACTCATCAGTCCTAACCGACATCAAGCACAACCACGAAAGCCTCCACCAGAGGCCAATCTGGAGTCCAATGGCAATGAAGCGCTTGCTGCCACACAGCTGAGTACTGGGCACTGAGTCCTCTAAGTCCTTCTGGGGCTCACCAGGGGAGCACCCCAGGCCCCAAGGTCAGTTGCCATAGTTCCCAACCCAGAGTCATGTTTAAGAGGTGCTTGAGAGCTGAGGCTCTCTAGAACCCAGAGCCAGGTTCTTTTATTTTATTATTACTATTTTTTGCTCCGAATGCCTTCAGGGCAGGTTTGGCTGGCTTGAGTTGTGGGGATCGAACCACAGCAACCTGAGCCTGACTGCTTTATTGAAGCAGCCACTTAAAGAACTGAGCTGAGGGGCAGGCCCCAGAGCCAGGTTCTAATGCCAAGTCAGCAATGGCTCCCGCGTATCCAGATTCCTTTTATTCCCTCTCTTTTTGGTTTCTTGAGACAAGGTCTTGCTATGCATTTCAGGCTGGCCTTGAACTTGCTGTGATCCTCCTCCCCAGCCTCTGAGAGCCATTTTTGCCCACAGAGAGGGCTTGCCTGCTTAGCTTCTGCTGAGGACGACTTTGGAGCCCAAGGCGGGGAGGAAGTAGCCTCTCGCTGCAGAGAGGGTGGGTGGAGGCACACTAAAATATGGCTTCATCACCAGACTGGGAGGCTCGAACCCTGCTTTCCTGGGGGATTTTCTCTACCAGTTTTATCCAGACTTGGGTGTCCTGACTGCTGTGAGGCCAGTCCCTGAGTCTGCTGTCAACTTCCCTTCTACAGACTTCTCGTCTGGAGGGCTTCAGGGTCCCAGCCCTAGGTGCCTTCACTGCTGAAAGCATGGTGTCCTCGCCCCTACTCCTCTGGTGGGAACCCTTCTACTCAAGGCTCTTCCCTCCCTTTCCCGCAGCCAGCTGTGGAGGATGGACCTGTCCTCGTGGACAGCAGGGCACCACTGGGCAGGCCAGGCCCAGTCCCTCCTCGCATCCTACCTCTGCTGGGCAAAGACCTGCTGTGGGGCGGAGGACAGAGATGCATGGTGGGCAAAGCGGCATTATGCTCACCCGAGAGTCTCTGTGCCCCCCAGATGTGCCGGGGGCTGTCCAGCTCCTTTCTTCTTCATATCTGCTGTGCCATAAGCCAAGGCACCTGGCCACCTGGCGGTGAGTGTCACTCTCCCTGAGACAACAGTTTAGGCGCCAGCCTCCTGGTATGGCCCCAAACCTGAGGCTGACATTGCCAGTCCTCATGGCTGGGTGAGCCCTACCAACCCTGCTGGGAACACAAGCAGGGCTTCCACACTCGGGTCCCGCCTGGTGCTGTAGGAAATGACGGCTGCAGAGAAAGCTAGCCACTGACTTGGCTGCGGACGTCTCTGCTGGGCTCAATTGCTGGTGGGCATGGACAGATGGGCATGCAGAGGTACCCAGCCTGGCTCCGTGCAGATCTCCCAGGACTGCCAGCCTGATCACAGCAGGGCTTCCTGGGTAGACTTCCTGGGCCTGCCATCACCATGGCTGCTGACCGGGCCCGGCCAGATGTCAACTGCTGCAACCTGCACTGCAATCACAGTCACTGCTCCCTTGAGGAGCACACAGTCTGAAGCCCTGCGCGTGGCTGAGAGTTTCCAGGCTCCCCTCCAATGCACACCTGAACTGGTGTGCACCGGCGCCCTGGGTTTGGAGGTGGGCAGGTGTACATGTCTAAGTATGGTGGAGGTGAGCTGCTACATGTACACACCCATGTGTGGACGGGTACATGTGTGAGTGGAACAAAGCCAGTTCTGTGTGTTCATGTGTCACACACAGTACACCAACAAGGGAGCCATGTCAGGCTCTCCATCTGATACGAATCACTTTATTCACTCTTCATGGATCTTGGGAAATAATGTCAGGGTTACCATGCCTCCCACTCCGCAGGTGAGAAAGGCTGGCTCTAGAGCCATCTCAGCCACAGCCAAAGCAATGCAGCGTATGTTGGTTGCACACATGAGGGTAAGGAAGTGTACTTCCCTGAGTCCTGGCAGTTCATATGTGTCTCTGCCTGAGCTCTGAGGCCCAGTCTGAGCACGTGTTATGTGGGGGCATGCTGGGAGCACAGGTGCTGCTCTGTGTGTGTCTGAGAGTCCAGGGCCCAGGTGAGAGCGCCCTGGGCGTGGGGGGGGGGGCGCCACACAGGCAGGTGAATCCCTACGAGTGCCGGTGCCCTAGGGGTGGCCACAGGACCCCCCCCCCCCAGAATGGCTGATGAGGGGCTGGAGGCCGTGGCGAGCTGCTGTGGACACGTGTGCACTGATGTGGACATGAGCAGCTGCAGGAGAGCGGAAGCTCTGTCCCACAAGTGGACCTGCTCTTTCCTCAAAGCATGATGGGAATGGGGCTAGAGAGGAATTATCTCTAGGAATTTTTCTTGCCCAAAACGTTCCAGGGCCACTTTTAAATGTGGACAGGAGGAAGGACAGAAGCCAGCCTGACTGACCCTTTGAAGTCTGTCTCACAGCCAACAGCCCTCAGCCTCCTCCAGCTTCCTGGACTGGGAAGCATCCAGTGTCAACCCCCTGCTTCGCAGCTGCCTTGATCTCTGAGAACTCATTCTCTTGTGACTCTCAGCACCAGGCCTGTCTTGTCTCTGGGGCAGAGCTGAGCTTGGGGCTGGTAGCCTGGCTGATGAGGAAACTAAGGCACAAAGCTCAAACACAGGAGCTAAAGATCTCTGAATCTTCCTGTGACCACTTCCTTGTGCTGTGGCCTCAGCAAAGGCCCTCTGCCTTCCCGAGTCTCCATTTCCTTACCTATGAAGTGACTCTTTTTTTTCTTTACTTTTCTGGCAGCAGGAATCAAACTCAGGACCTCACACTTGTCAGGCAGGTGCTGTGCTGCTCAGCTATATCCCTGGCCCCCAAAGAAGCCCTTTTTTTTTTTTTTTTTTTTTTTTTTTTTTCGGAACCAGGGATTGCACTCAGGCCCTTGCTTATTCTACTGAGCCATCTCCCCGGCCCCTCACCTATGAAGTGGAAGCGCATCCTTCCACACGAAGGATGGAGTGGGGACCAGATAGCACGAGGCATGGCATGGAGGTCTGAGAGCAGCTGCACACTTTGCTGAAGGCAGAACCATGGCCACCTGGGACCAGCCTGGCCTCCGCATGCACGTCCGTGCTCCACTTGAGCCCTGGAAGCCTCGCCTTCCTCCTTCATCCCCTAGCCCTCCCTTCCTGGGAGGGGAGATCC